TCTGTCATGTGTTACGTGACACATATTTCAAACATTAATAAAATATTTATTTTTGACTTGATTATCTATTCAAACATTTTTTTGTCCTATTTAGAGTCAAAACTTCAAATACACATAAAGAAATCTAAGAAAAAAACGTGTCTACAGAATTCTTTATTTGTCCTCCCAGATGTACTCAAGAGCGAATTAAGAGCCATATTTGTATTTGTATTTTAATTAAATTTTGAAGTTAAAATATATACCTTTAAAATTTGTAATTTGTTATACAATAGGTTAGAGTAAGTTTTGCCAAGGACGTTGAATACGCCCTCTGGTGAGAGATTGATTTTCCATAAACATGATAAATTTGTATAATTTGCCATTTGTATTGTATAATTTTTATTCGTATTCTCAGAGACATATATGTCTCTGGTATTCTATTATTTTCCATCTGGATTCTTTAATTTTCCATTTAGATTGCATTATTATTTATTTGTATTCTATATTTCCCAGATAGCAAGCTAATGGGCCAACGTTGGTATAAGTGGAGCGTAGCGGGAACGATAACTCTGGGTATAGAGATTGATGGAAAATTATAGAGGGCGATGGGCCCGTGAGAGCGAAGCTCTCCCTATAGGTAACATGTATGTATGTAAAATATACTGAATTCTATTGTAAGCTATAATTTTATTGCTAGCGCTCTCGAGCGCTAGCAATTACGTTAGTCTAAATTTCTGGAATACGCATGCTCGACTTCACGGTCGGGCATTCTGGGAAAACTACTGAAGATAGACTGTACGATGATAATTTCGTTTTATCATAAAAAATAGATATGATCCGAATTCTGAATTTCTTAATAATTGTCTAACCTACGATTAAAAGTACAAGAAAAATTTGGGTCATATAATTCCAAGATTGTACAGATCAACTGGTAAAACCTAGCTTTCCATACAGCTAACCATGTATACTACCTTCCTAGATAATTCCGGCAAGCTCAGAAAAAAAACCCAGGAAATCTTTCAGAGTATGTCGGAAAGACACGAGAAGCGATTAATACAATGCAGTAGCACTGATATAATTATAATTCTTTAATTTTTCATTTTTTTTCCTTTTTTGACGGAGATCCGATTACGTTAGTCTTTCGTATGCTTGACTTCACGGTAGGGCTGGGAAAACTGTACAATGTCAATTTCGTTTTTTAATCTGAAAATACATAATATTATGATCTAAAGTTTCGTGTTTTGTTGTCTAATCTTAAATAAATGTACAAAAGGTAACAGTAAATGCCAAAACTGTACAGATCTGTTATAATTTCTAAAATTAATTTATACTTAAAAAACTAGCTATTTTTAACTATCTTCCTGGATCTTTCCGGCAAGCTCGGAAAAACAACCTCGGATATGTTTTCTGAGCTTGCCGGAAAGGTCCGAAAGGATGTGATTGCTACAAACAGTAAAAACAGTACCACAGTGGAATATTTTTAAACTAGGTGTTCATTGGTTCTTCTTATCTCTTATTTTTCACTTCAAAATTGAAATTACAGTGAACTGCAGAATGCTTAAAGCACAGTTAATGATGCATGCCATTGCCAATGTGAAAACCCACTCTAGATTCATCATTCTGAATTAAGACACATCCCCCAACACCACCTCCAGTGTAACACTGTGTCTTCCTATTAATAATTAGGGGCGACCATTTGATTCTGAAGGGGGGGGGGGCTGGCAGATTTTGGAAATATATAATCTGTGCTCAAAAAAGTTGAAAATAAATAAATAATTGTATTTCCACGACCGGCAAGGAAATAAATAATCTGTTCTTGACTATTACTACCCCCCCCCCTTCCGTCCCCGTTTGAACTTTTTTTTTTGTCCAACTTTTTTTCAGTGAAGAAGAAAATAAATATTCTGTCCTTGACTGGCATGAAAATAAATAATCTGACTCGAAAATTTTTGCCAGACCCCCCACCCGACCCCCCTCCTCAGAATCAAATGGTCGTCCCCTTAATCGATTCAGCAAATTAATCCAATAATTCAGATATCTAATTCTGTGGTTTATGATAGCTACAGCGCTAGCTCACCTATCTTTTTTAAAAGATAAGCTTGTTACAATACCTATGGAACTGAGAACCTTGTCGCCAATATGGCGTCCATAGTCTTTTCCATCTTGAATCTCGCGACTAATTGCCGCATTAACGAGATGCTGGAGAATCGTAATTTTAATTCCAATCCTGCGTTAATGAAGTTTTATCAATTCTAATAATCAAAAACACCCTTATGGTACACATCCTTGTTACTTTCGTTTTCAACTAACTTGCTTTCGATCGTCATAGACCTGACATGTGACGTCATTCATTGATGAATCAGCTGTTGCATTTTTAACAACCTGTAAAAATTGATATTTCATATGCGTACTCTCTTTTTAAAAACAGATTTATTCACCTTTTAATAAACCTTACTATATTTTGGTGAAACAAAAAAACTCAGTTTAAAGAATTCCAGTGACGTCACTGTCTAGACTGCGTACTACGCACTATGGAGGGGCGGATCTTTCTGTGGCCGTTTCACCAGACTTTAGGGAAAAGAAACAACTCTAATTTATTTGTTAATAAAATTTATTAATTACGAATGTCTTCAGGATTATTTTCAATACACATACTAGAAATATAAGATTTTTTGTGACATAGTATAATTTTTCTATTGAATAACAGGCCCGTGGGAAGCAATTTCAGTTTTTTTTTTTGGGGGGGGGGGGGGGGCACAGCCATACATTTTCAGTTGAGGGGGCACTATTAACCAAAAATTCCTTGACAAGCCAAAAAAAAAAAAAAAAAAAAAAAAAAAAGGTCAGCACACGTTTTTTTTTGAGGGGGCACAAACATATAGTAGCTATGTTTTCTATAGTAATCTATATATCGGCGAAAATTATTGAGGGGGGGCACGCCCCCCGTGCCCCCCCCCCCCCGATTCCTACGGCCATGAATAATACATTAAAAAAATGTTTTTAGTGGTAAAAAGCACGAAAAGCTTTACTGAATTCTGGTATGAACTCAGGAAGGGGGGAAGGGGTATGCATTTTAATTTTAAAATTTTTTTTCTTAATTTTATTTTTTTTAATTTATTTATTACATGTATTTATTTATTCATTCATTCATTCTTGTTTTTGATTGCTTGCTTGTTCCTATATACATTTACCGGTGGAGGCCTGTGTTTCATTTTTGTTGTGAATTTTTTTTTTTCTCAAAAGATTTATCATTTTTTAAGTGTTAAATTTCAGTTTTGTGAAGCTCACCATCAAAAGAAAAATCTTTGGACATGTCGGAAGCTCAAACTACCACATCAAACACATGTTCCATTTATACATGTGGATACGTTTCAACGGATAAAATAAAAATGATTTCTAATTTTTATTTTAAAAAGTACTTTTAAAAATATAGAACTGAAAATGTATTCAGCCAGTTGGAACCTATGGTGGACTATGATAGTGTATAAAATCCAAAATCATGAGAAAAAATATTAAGTTAAACAATACATAACCATATGAGAAAAAGTAAGTTAAACAATACAGGAGGGATATGGCAAAATACATGACATATATGAATAAAGTTTCATGTTCTCTTGGCTTAACCCCCCCCCCCCCAAAAAAAAAAACAAAAACAAAAAAAACCCGAATCTTCATTTGACATTACCCATGCTAATCCATGTAAAGAGTTCAAAGTTGTTGAGTAGTGCTAAAATATATTTTTTTTTAAAGCTTCCATATATGATCCATTTTATTATGTTGTGGATAGAGATGTCACAAAACATCAATTACTGATGCAGAGGAGGGGGGGGGGTTCGATACATTGATAAATATTCTATTCGATACTTCCCAGAAATGTATCCTATTATTCACAAATTTTGATTTTAAAATTCTAATAGTTTTCGGTTAAACAATTTAATATCTGGAAAAAAACTTTTATTGAGTTAAATTCGTTTTTCCAGATATTAAAAAGAAAAAAAATATCTTGCTTTTGTGTTAGTTTTAGAAAGCACTAACGACTATTCGAATCAGATTAGTTTTTTTAAAAAAATGCAGAAACGTTAAATTTACTCTACATTTTTTCCATTAAAATTAAGAAAATAATTCTCAGAAATTTTGCGATGCTGATACTTTCAGCCCTCACCGTATACACAGTCCTAGTGTTGGTCAGATGATCAGTTTCCAAGTGTCCTGATAACCAAGGAGTCAGATCATCTTTCTGTAGTTTGGGTCCCAAGTTCAACTTCCGATGTAGTCCCTGACAATTGTCCTTATTTGTATTTGATGTCATAACCATGCATTGGAAGTAAAAGATGGGAATTAAATGACTTAATGTTTCTGGATTGGGTTTTTTTTTTAATTAAGTCGTGAAAGATAAAGAAATGATGCTCATGCAAGCTCACGTATAATTGTTGGACAGATACATATAGATGAAAAAGTTAACGTTTAAGAGTTCTTGGGCCTGGGTAGGTTGAATCCTTGACTGGCGACACTGGTCCAGTGCACACTCTTTCCCCGTTATGCTATTCGATTTTGAGTGCTCTGGCCAAGCAATTCATGATGAAATATCTTAGTAAAAGTTTTCCAGATTTATAAAACCAAATACTCTTAAATTTCTTTGTTTGAAATAAAAAAAATTTGAGGTAAGAGAACTTAATTAGAGTTTTTTCAAAGGACTGAGGTTTTTGTTATGATTTGCAACTTGATTTTAACACTGATTATCATTAAACAATAAAATGTAGAAATGTTCACTTGATGGCTCCGCCCTCACCAACGGTGGCACCGTCTTACATATTAGAGAATTAATTCAAATGGAACATTATAGAAAACAAATCAAATAGAAAGTTACGCAATACAATTGGAAAGATATACAAAACAAATGGAAAAAGATCGAATATTGCAACGGTTGACATGTTATAAATTCCCAAGTTTCTTTTCACTCTTTCATATTCTCATAAATTATTTACGCTGTTTAAATATATTCAGTATAGTCCGAATCATTCTGTGTTCGACTTTTAACATCCGGGGATTTTAAACAATGGCTGCGCCCATTGACAATAAATATGTCAAGTAAAATTTTTAACATTTCGGGCAATTTTAGGCAATCCTTTGTGCTTCCTCATGGACATCAGGTGCAATGGTTTCCGGGACATATGCAGAAAGGAATTTCTCAATTATTAGCTCGACTGAGATCCATAGACTGTGTCCTAGAAATTCACGATGCTCGAATTCCATTTTCGGGAAGAACACCCTTGTTCAAAGACATGATGAAAATGAAAGCACACGTGCTTCTTCTAAATAAATGCGATGTAGCAGACATGAGTCGAAGAAGGGACATTGTAAATAGATTAAAAGAAGAAGGTGTCGATAAAGTTTTGTTTACCAATTTAACATCTGAAAAGTCAAAAGTTATTAACCAAGAACTATTTCCACTTGTTGTAGAGGCAATACATAGCGCGCCACGCTTTAACAGAGAGACAGCTGAGGCTTATGAAATGGCTGTGATTGGTGTTCCTAATGTTGGGAAATCAACTTTTATTAATTATGTTAGACGATCACATACAACGTTAAAGAAAAGACCTTTACGAGTTGGAGCCGTAGCTGGGGTTACACGATCACTGTCAGGAAAGATCCGTGCGAACTTTGACCCTCCCGTTTACTTAACAGATACACCTGGAATTCTCACGCCACGGGTGTCCAGTGTGGAGGAAGGAATGAAGCTAGCTCTGTGTGGTTGTTTACCGGACCATATCGTGGGTGAGGATTTAATCGTAGATTTCATGCTGTTCTGGCTCAATAAACACAGTGACTTTCGGTACATGGAACAATTTAATTTATCCGAACCAACAGATGATGTTCAATGCTTTTTAAACCATGTTGCTAAAGAAAACAAATTTATTAAAAAGTTGAAATCTGTGGATAACAGAGAGTATAACTATTTCCCTGATTATTTAGCAGCTGCAAGACTCGTGTTAAAACAATTCAGAGAAGGGGCTATAGGGCCCATGTTATTAGAAGATTTATGACTGCTTTTATGTATTAATGATATCTCTCAGAACATGAAATTTCAAAATTGAGTGTCATGTCTCTTTTCAGTGTGATTTAGATTTTTACACATGTTATCTATTTCAACATCATGAAATTATTCATATTTACTTATTAAAACATGGATTTAGACATAATAAAATTAAAGGAATTAAAGCTTCCTTAGGCCAAATAAAAAAATATGTGTGGTTCCGGTTACCCGACCTTCCCTATTTTATACCCCCGACCCTAAACTTTTTTTGGCAATTTTCATATTTTTTCCGGAATTTCCCCCGATTTCCATCAATGGCTTGAGTTTAGTTTCAGCAATGACGGCCTCCTTGCAAAACATAGTGCAAGTGTTTAATAGTGTTAAATCCAAAGCAAGCTAGCATGTAGGTGTCCCCTACCAATATTGACTAGTATATTATCACACCACATCTAAAATGCCATTTGCAAAGCAGTGATAGGTATTATTTAGAAAAAATTAAGGAAATCATTTTGTTAAAAAAAAAAAAAAATCCCTACCTACCTACCCTAATTTTTTTGGAAGTGTAACCGGAACCACACATATTTTTTTGTTTGACCTTACTAACAATTGATTCAGATCGAGGTTAACTACAAGTGTGTTCAGTATAGAAAGATTTTCTGAATATTTTTTTTTATCAGAAGATCTTGAATATACACATTAATTAGACACTAGAGAAGTCAGTGAATTAGGTAAAAAAAATTCTGACAACCACACGTTTGTGAAACCTGCTACTGTAAATGATGGGTGTCCTTGTTATTGTTTTGCTTTAACATATTGCTAGGATTTATTGGATCACCAAAATGCATTTCAATTAAAGATTTATTTTACCTTTTCCTGTGATATTTTAGGTACAATACAGAATTATTTGCAATTTTCAACATACCCTAAATTTGTCTAAAAGGAAGAATACACTTGTCTGCCAAATATTTTAAGGCAAATGTGTAGAAATGTACACAATGTAACAAACAATAGCAGTATGATATTACATTCCAGATATTAGAAGGTATAATCACATTTATCTCGTGCAGGATTAAAAAAAAATCTATGCCCCTGCCATAAAGTGGCCGGAGGCATATAATATACCCTGTTCTGTCATTCCGTCGTCATTGACTTTCCGTTCATTATCTCGGCAACAGTTGCACACATTTAACTCAAATTTTACTTATGGATATGTTGTAAGAATACGCAGGTCAAGATTGAATTTGGTTGTGGTCCAATGATTTTTGACAGAGTCATCCCTCTTGAACTTGGGAAAAAATAAGAAATTTTTAGTTTTGCTCTTTCTAACTTTTGTAGGGATGTATGTATAAGGTTGAAATTGCATTTGCAGGTATTTTTTTTCCAGAATATACAGGTCAGGTTTGAATTTGGCCATAGTCAGATGATTTTTGACAGAGTTATCCATCTTCAACTTAGAAAAAAATCTTTTGTGCAATTTACAACTAAATATGGCATTTGAAATTTAGCTGCCTGTGGGGACATTCGTGGCATTACGACACATCTAATTTTTTTTTATTTTTATTTAATTTTTTTTGGGGGGAGTTTGGTGGATAAGTAGTAAAGTTTCATGTTCACTGAATTCAGTTCCTTCACAAACAATAGGTATGTTTCCTTGCATTTTTTTTTTTTGGACAGAATCTTCTGTAATTAAGTATTATTAGCACAAATGATTACAGTACCCTTTCAATGATAAAACTTTTAAAAATTACAATTGAATGAAAAAGAGTAGCACATGCTGAATACTAGTATGTTACACAGTATTAATGCACTCTGAAAAGATAATGCATAATAGAATATACATATAATCTGGTGTATGTTGGTCATTGTTAACTCATAAAATATTTCTTTCAAGGTTTACATTCAATGAATGTGCTATTTGTGTGTAGTATTAGGTAAATGAAAAATTAAATATTTTTTAACATTCTTTAAATGAATGAACATACAGTCAAATCTTGTTATCTCAAACTCGATGGGAAAGAGAAAAAACTTTGAGATATCCGAGGATTTGAGATATCAGGGATAAAATACCTAAAGAATAAGTGGCTGGCACTTCCAACTCACTTAGAAATATACATGTTATTTGAGATATCAGTGTTTGAGATACCAAAGTTCAACTGTAATACACATGTAGCAACTATAACATAAATACAGTGTGATTTTTTTATGTGAATAAATCATATAGTTCTTCTGCTGTCGAAAAACATGATAAAAGATGTTAAAGAGGAATGTCCATATGCAGAGAGATAACTCTAACATTGTTCCCTGTTTTTTGTTTATCATCAATGAGGAATTGACTCAGGTTCTGTGTGGTATAGTATTTGTAGGGTTGTGTTGTTGACTAGTTGTTTATCCATCTGTCTGCCACAAAACCATATTCTGACCATATACATTTTTAACTGCTACTTCAAGACCTTGATTTAGGGACACATGCTTAAACAAAAAATAGATGATTGTATATATTGGGGACATATTTTTGGATTTATTTTGGTTGTTAATAAAAAAATTATAATATCTGAAGTATAAAGAAATTATAGACTTTCTTTGATGTTGAAATCTGTCCTTTTTGCCATCAACTTGTAAATCAGTATAATTTGTTATCTCTTTATATGGCCTTATTGAGATTTTTGTAGTACAAGACAAATAGCTAACATTTTATTTGGGAATAAAAAGCCATTTCATATATCATCTACATGTATAAGTTTAATGTTTTCACATTTTCATACTATGAAGAATCAGTTGGTCAGCTTAAAGCAAACTACAATATAAGGGTTACAGAGAATATATACATTTTCATGTGTATATGGGCCAGCAGTGGTTCTGTAGATTCACACTGTATTTTATAATACATGATGTATAGGCTAGCAGTGGTTCTGATGAAAAAAAAATATTATAATCCACTTTATCTGATTTTTCCTAATTGTCTTCTCAATGAGAAAACTTTCAGTTTGGAAGCATTACAAAGTAATGTGTGAAAGCTGTTCTTCTTTGGTGTAGAGCTACACTTTTCCCACTAAATTATGGCCTCCAGCTTCAGATCTGTTTGGACAAACTCAGGGACTCAAAGTATTACATAAAAATGTATTGAAAATTAGTAAACCACAATTTCTTAGCTCAAAAAATGAAAAACATGTCAAAACATCTTTTCTTTTATCATTCTGTTCAAGGTTGCCAAGAGAAAAAACATTCATGGCACAAAATGTCATGGATAAGTATAGGAGACCTTAGAAAATTTGCAATTGTGAGGCAATGAATAACATTTAATTGGACACTGAACCTGACCTATGAGTTATATATTATCTTTGACAAAGTTTCTTATATATGCATTCATTCAAATCAAGGGTTTCAGACTTGCAGTCAGAGAGGGTTTTAGTATCCCATTGCCCTGTGACTTTGATCATAAAACCTTCTCCAGATTTATTCACATCTTTTGGCTATGGGCAACATATCACTAAGCCTGAATCCATATAGAACCTA